GAACAGATAGTTTGAGTGGTGGATTTGCATCGCGCAGTTGGCTTTTTGGTGGTTTCTACGTAGTTTTTCTCTCATAATATGCTCTATTTGTGTGCTCTCTCGGGTGCGGAAGTTTGCCGGAATAATATGTTGGTTTCTTGCACTTCCACAGCTGGTTGTTTGGTTGTGTGTTATATGTCTTTTTTGTCAGCCAGGAATTTGCACCCGGGACATGCACCTGCATGAAAGACGTGACGGCTAGTTTGGGATGCAAGAACGCTGTAGAAGGTAAATTTGCAACCAGGCAATCCCTGCAGGAGCAAGGAACTTTTTCCCAGCACCCCCGGGTATCAATTGTGTTGATTTGGCGACTTGGCTATTGAAACTATTTTTGTTGTCTTGCACTCTTCAGTTTCAGCTTGATCTTCCAAATCTGAGCCTGGAATGTCATGATGCAGTGGAAAAATCACCGTTCAACCATTGCAGGAAATATTAATATATATACAGTATATATATAATATCAAATAACCACTTCCAGTCTCAATATATCTAAATAAAAACGTACATGTGCTCCATCTACCACGGTTTCCATCCCAATTGGGCACAATCGTCGCACGGTGCACGTCAGGCCAATCAGCCGCTGTACGTCTCGGCCAACTCGCAAGCACCGAAAGTGGCCGGGGCATTGGCACAACGCGTGAGGCAGAAGCACCAGGCGTGGTGGAGGAGTGGGTGCCTAGGGAAGGGAAGAGAAGGGACGGGAAGAAGATGGAAGGAGACCGGTAAAAGAGATAGGAAGGGATGAGTGGACGAGTGTTTTGCGAGGGTGCTCTTCCTTTCGCAGCTGTCAGAGTGAGTCTTTTTGTTTGGTTTGATCATCTCTTTGTTTGTGTTTATTGCAATACCACTGCCCAACAGTTTGATGATCTCTTTGCACCAGCGGCCACAAGCCACTGCCGTGAGGCCTGATTCGGTAGACTCATGGCTTAGTCAGTCTTCCGATGGTTCCCAAAAACATCAATCCCTATCCCTACCTGGAACCCCAAACGATCACCGTTTTTTGAGTGCCAATCAGTTTTGAGACACCACATGGCATTGGTGTTCTGTTTTTGGGTGTTTGGCTAAAACGATCAAAAAAGATCAAGGACTGCTTTCGCTATGTGGAAACCTTGCCGGAAACGAGCTGGAGACACCCAAACGCTTAAAAACACAACACAACATTTATAAACACGACTCAAACGACTAGAAACACAACACAAATGACTAGAAACACAACGCCGTTGCGTGAACCACCTGAAACAACAACAAAAAATACAACGCAAACGATCAACAAAACGACGCAAACGCTCAACTTTATGGCACAACTTTGGTGTTGTTATTCAATACACTTTGGAATCCCTGGAGTGCCCTTTGTGACACCGGCACATAGGTCTTGGATTGTGTTTGTTGATGGTCGATCAAAAAATCTAAAACGCATAGATTTTGGTAGGTGTTCCAGGCTCCAGGTATGCATCCAAGTCCCCAAGTACCTTCTCAGGTACGGTGATTGGAGACAATGTGGATCCCTAGGGAATGGTAGTTTTCAATCCAGGGGGGTGCTCGCGATGGCATGAGGTTCATGAGTTTCGTGTGAAGCCTAGAACATCCAGAACTTGAAGTCATCACTACTCATTGGATGGCCCAGACAAGGGGTCGAGGTGTTTCCAGAGCAGCGGTAACTCGGTAATGTAGTGGACTGTTGATGAATCAAACCCCTTTGCCTCTTATCGAATTGTTTTACATTTGCAGGCTCATTGTTTTTTGTTAAGAATCAGATCATCAAATAGTCTATGACTCGTACTGGGCACTCGAACTGACTCACTCCCAAGTTACGTTTTCGCACCAGTTGAGGGAAACACCGGGACCTTCCTGTGCGTGGTGCACCGGGCAAACGGGGTGCCCTTGGAGGCCTTCCTGGCTGCGATGGGCCCTGCACCAGCACCTTGAAGATCAGATTTAAGGACCCAGTTCTCTTCGAAGTGTACCGAAAAGATGTTTGAGAGAGGCTGATTTATTGCGGTATCAGGGTATTTTTGAGGTGTGAGCCAGTTTTGGTTGTTTTGTGAGATGGTTTGTTTTATGCAGAGAGACTGTTCACCACCTGTTGTTTTTTGGGGGTTTCTGACCTTGGACTGTAGGAAGATGATTGAATCAAAGCTTGGTGGGAATGGGATGGAATGAAAGTCCTCCCTCCGGGGGGTTCTTTCGGACCATGAGTCACCAGGGTTGCTTGAATTCTGGCTTTCTCGGCCCAGAGTCCGGAAGCAATAAAAGACTGCCTAGTAACTTAGTACATGGTTTGACCAACGCTGCCTAGTACATGACCTTTGCTGCCTTTGCTTTATAGTTCCAGTTCAGGTGTGCATGTTTTTGCATATCCTCGTACATCCTCTCCCCAATGGTGCGTCCTGAATCATCCAGCAGGGCCCCACCTATGATTGATCGATTTCTTGGATGCTCCAGTTGATCGCAGAAGGCAACGGAACCGAGGTGTGCAATGCGTTGAAGAGTGTTTACTTGGCCAACCGCTTCTTGTATCAAGATTCGCCATCAGGCTGCAAGCTTGCGGATTTCTTTGGGATGGAACGGACCGGTGTGTTTCTTCCCTTGTTCCCTACATAGCTCTCGAGCTAGAGTTTTTATTTTTTATTTTGTTTTACTCTTGTTTCTTTTTTGGTGTGTGTGTGCGCACATGTGGGTGTAATATTGACTTGTAAATGGACCATCTAAGGGTTTTTGTTAGCGGGTGTGAGCAACGTTTGCCTACTGGGTGACCTCTTTGGAAGGGTCCGATGTTTTCCAAGGCGACTCGACTCCAGCGTTGTTTTCAGCAACACTTGCTTGTAAGAGATCAATCGAGGCATACTTGCTACTAGCAGTGATGCCCTTTGTTCAACCTAATAGCGATGGCCTCCACCTAGTTGCTTCTTGTTAGATTCTTGTTACTAGTAATGCCATTTAGTAGTTCCAATAGACTTTATAGATCGAAGCACAAGATATGTGTTCCATTGTTGTGTTTGGAGACTCTTCCTGCTTGTTCTACAGTGCAGTGGTTTCAGAGTAGATGGCACAGACCCCAAGCTATCCATATAGAGGTTCATCTAAATCACCAAACTTGGGGGATTGTGTCATTTACTCTGACAAATCACTCTATTTCTTTTGTTCGTTGTAAACGGATCTGAGGATTCGGATCCGCATGTCGCCTGAGTTCGCAGATACCGAACAAGGTTTGAGCACCTTGTGCCTACACATTTTGCCGGAACTTTGGGTCGAAGACTCATTATGAGTAGCTTGTTCCATGGCACATACTCTTAAAACGCCAGGACAAGATCAAACATAGCAACATATAGCAACCACCTTGCAACCTCCAAAGCATCGGATTCAGCGCTTTCCTCCAGACTCTCTCCCAAAGTACCTGAGGATCGTGAGGATCGTTTCGGGCTCGGTTAGGGCACAGGGACCTAGGAACCCCCACCACAATGAGTTCTTTGTATGTTCTTGTATGTTTTTGGGCATTTTATCAAGGAGGTTTGTTTTCTTTCTAAATGCACACCCCTGGTTAGTTTTGAGAGTGGGCGTTGGTAGGGCTTTAAGGTTTGCCTTGCATGTCCTTGAAAACATCATATTTTACAGTGTTTTATGTATGCAATAGGCTCAGACACCCTTGATTAGTCATCGATCTCCAGGTTCCTTGTTGCTGTACAAAGCTTTTCAGGGTGTCCTCCAGGCAATGCCACCAATGTCTCCAGATGACCGCCAAGTAAGTATTTTTTATGTGGACACGTTCAATCATGCATTGTTTGTATATATGTTGGGGGGTGTTCTATTACCTGTAACAGTCGGTAAACAAGAACATCACTATTTTAGAGGAAGGCCTGCAACCAGGCCCCATCACCATCCACAACAGGCCCCATTGTTCGCATCTGATACACCCAATGTATATGCACCGCCCCCTGCAGGCTTTAGAGAGTCTCACACAAAGAAACCTTTTTTGCGAGGCCAAGGGGCGTCACATGTTGGAGGCCACCCTGCTCAGCATGTCACAAAGCTGGGTGAGCCAAAGTTGCTTGCACATGAGTTTGCGATGACAAGAGTGACACAGCACCGTGCAAATGCTCCGACCAGGGGTGGTGCCGCCTCGCATCTTACTTCCAGTTTCACGCCTCCACTGCAAGTCATGTGCCAGAACCAAGGCAGTGGTCAATGCACTTCGCCTGGGACAGATTCTCATGTTAAAGCCCACATAAAGCATTGTCCGTCACCATTGGCATTCTTCATGCTGTTGAGAACATAATTTGCTGTTCAGTCATATATACATAAAGTGATAATACATGTCTATTTGTGCATCGTTTACATCCTGCTAGACTTGAACTCTTTTCTGAACCAGTCCGCCCGACTCTGAGTATTATGAACAAGTCCGAATCTTCCGAAGAAGTCTCCGACTGGTTCTGGAAGTCTTGAGATTTGATCCACGTTTGTTCATGTGCACACTCTTTGCAATAATTTGACCGGATCTTGGTTTGTGCAGTTCGGTGTTTGCATTCCGTCTACACTGCCAATTGATTCTGGCCTACCACTCTCTCTTCAGTCTTTAGGCTTGCATTCCACCCTCCTCTAGTTTACCTCACAGTCTTCTGTTCTAGCATGTTCCTTATAGACTATGGCTCCGCCTTGCTCTATTCTCCTTGATGCTATGTGAAGCCTTCTCAATGCTTTATACTTTATTCCCATGTTTTTTGATGTTCAGCCGAGTACCAGTGTTCTGCTCTACTTTTCTTCTCGTTGTCTATCCTTCATACTTCTGCCCACTGCATTTCAATACAAATGGACAGGAAAGGATGCGGCGTGTAGGATGCATCCAACAGCATACATCCTGCAGTATGATCCATCAGAATCCCACTTTCCCGTGTTTTCCGTGTTAAAACCGTTTCCTCGGCTCCACCCAGCCGCGGACCTCGGTGCTGGCGCGCCGGCGGGGTCAGGATCTCCTCTCCTTCTGCCGCGGCCAGCGCTTGCTCGGCCCCATGGGGGGCCGGCAAAGCGGCACGGTCTGCGCCAAGCATCGCTGTCCGGAGACCGGGCCGGTCAGTCACTTGCGGCTTGGATCTCCTTGGATCGTATGGTTTTCTTGTGGATGTAACAGGTTCAGTGCAGGTGACTGTTGGATTGTGAGGATTTGTTACAGCCTTATGATGTCTTATGGTCTCTTAATTATTATTAATCCTATCTTACTTTGAGCGCCATGTGATGCCCTTGTTTCATGATGCGCCATTTGATAAGGTTGAACTTGGGGAAGTCACAAAAGAACATTCATGTCTTGGGAAAACCAAAAAATCTTGAACCGCCCTTTTTGAGCGAGTTTTCCTGATTTGAATTACTTTGCAGCGAGTTTTCATGGTCAACACTTGATGGTGGAACTCGCATACCCAGACCATCCATGGAATACCTGGCTCCACCAGTTTTGGTTTGAAAAAAGCAAAACACAGTGCTGTTTGGTGCAATGACAGTAACTAGTAACTAGCAAATGTGCATATGATGGAAGATGCATGGAATATATATTATAGTGTTCCAAAATTCAGCCTGTTTTCCATTGGATGACTGGGTGGTCCCCTATGTTTGAGCTATGCCGGCAGTTCCTTTAGTTCACCGCCATATCACACCAATTGCGTCCAATTGCCCTCAGTTTCGCCACAGCTGCAACTCTCCCTTCCGCACATGGACTCATTTTGGCGTTCTAGCTACGGCAGGAGATGATCCAGGAGATGCAAGGTCTTTTTGCCAAGACCTCAGTTCATTGAGAGGAGCTCCAACTGACCGGTATGGTATCAAAGATCATTTCTGGTCTTTGTAGCGGTTGACAGCGCCCTGGGCATACCGCCCAGGTACCCCCAAGCAACCCAAAAACAGTGTTGCTCCATGTCAAAAAAGGATCCATGTGGAAGGAAACACCTGGACGGTTTCCTCCAGGAAAGCTCAAACCGGGGAGCTTCGTGGTCTTCTTCGGTCAAACACCCTCAGAAACGACCTGCTGGGACCGGAGTCGGTGTTTGGGCCCTTGGGACCCCGAAACGGCCAACTCATGCGAAAACCGCAGGGGCGATTTAGCACTATCTGTAGTACCGGACAACTGAGGTTGATTTAGCACCCCCTTTGTTTTTAGGGGGTTCTTGTATGACATGAGACACAACTGTACCTATTTGCACGTATTTGCATGTGTGTGTGTTTCCCCTATCCTTGATCCTTGATATTAGTTTGCGGATTGTGATGCTGGATGTCCCAAACATGTTGCTTGTATACTGAAAATCTAGCCATTCATTCTAAAGCGCATCAGGATTCCACCTGCCTCACTCAATTTACGGTGTAACAACTCCAAAAACACTCTTACTTCGTTTCACGGACCTTCCCAGCTAGTATATATATATTAACCGCGCTGCCACATGCCCGCCCAGGATTCCACCTTCCGAAAGATCTACACGCGCGACCGGCGGGGAGCTCCCTTGGCGGACCGGCTGAAGGACCGGCTCGGCGTTCGTTGGATGCGAACGATGAGAACACATCTGAGCGACACGTTCTCAACCTCCCCGTTGGTCGGCAAGTGAAAACCAGAGCCCTCTAAGAGCCCTTGGTCTAAGACGGCCTATGTCCGCCCAGGAATATGTTCTTTTTTTTGTCAGGGCCAAGTGTGTGACACCCCTTTAGGGTCCTGGCAGAGGTGATGTGATTCACTTGAAACCTTTGGAAGGCAGAGTGGAAAGAAACATGAGATGGCTTGGACCAGAAAATCTGACGTTCGGCATCCAGGATTTGGATGGTCTTGGTATCGATGGTCGGCAGAGGGCAACGGTAGGCTTTCGAATCATTAGGAAACATGGCCGCACATATCCGCGCATTATTATGTTGGATTAAGGCCATAGTGACTTAGTGCCTTGAATTTCACTGCTGACAAAATGTCGTGCTAGCATGCATGCCACGGCATTCAGCGGTGGTAGTCCTTAGCTGCCAGCCAGTGACAGGTGTTCTGGCAATCTGGCGACACGAGTAGCAAGAAGACAAGATCCCAGAAGTACGTAGTACTTATATGGAGGCTAGGGTGATTGGAGGCTAGGGTTGCCCATGATCCACTCCAAGGGCCAAATCGTTCCTTGAAAACTCCAATTGCCCAAGAACATCCAATTCCGAGGCCAGGGTGCTGTAGGCATGGGTAGGCCATGTTCTTTCCAGCAGAGCATCATGTCGTCTCCCATTACCCTCCACCGGTGACCACGTGTTCCACTTCCATGTTCAGCCAGGTGACGGACGTGTACCGCAGCCTGGCGCAGAAACATCACATGTCCTCCTCAAAAGACCACGTGTGTGGGGAACGTGTGAGAAAAGGATGTTTTGGAAGCAAGCTGGATCGAAGCCAAGTCTTTTGTGTGTGTGTAGCCGATGCCGGAGTCGACTCGCTATAGGTTGATGCTTTGAATCATGTGAATCGAACTCCCAAGCTGAATTGCCCGTGTTCTGCCAGATGCATATTGAAGTCATCCACCGCGTTCATTTTCTGAATTGATCCGACGGGTTCTTCGAGTTCCTGCGAGCGATGTCCACTTCACCCCAGCCATGTTCGATGCCAAAGTGAGTCGTTCTCTCGTAACTCTCAGGTGTCCTAAATGATCAGGCGCGGCATTGCGAGCTGAGTTGGGGCACTGCAAGAGGTATACATTGCCTGAGACGCATACATATATAATATATATATATATTATTGCATATTATGCTGTACGTAGTAATTAGAAGTTTTCTCGGCCAGTGCTTTACAGAATATGGATTCAATTATATCGATTGTTCAACATTAGATATATACACGGTAAAAAAAACAAGATATACTAGGCTGGTAGTTGTTTGTGTCATGGATGCTGGAATAATACAAGTGATGCACTGGAACCATATTGAACCTGACGTAATCCAAGTTGACAATCAGTCCAAAAGAGGGCACTCGGAGAGACTTGTGAACTCGTTGATCGAGTCGTAGCCCATCGGTTGAGGACTGGCAAACATCCCATATGGTTGAGAGATAATTAGCCAACAACAGCTATCAAAAGCTTCTCAAACAGATTTGGGCCAAGAGTTCTGAGGCGATCCATGATGCGTTCTGAGTATATCCAGACGACCGTCCGACGTTCTTTGTCCAGGTCTGGCGCGAGTATTTGAGGCGAGCTCGGTCGTACTCGCTGACTCGGCGAGCATTCTTGAGGAAGAATGCTTGGAGACGTCTGCGGGAAACAGGTCGCCCACCGGTTTTCTTTGAAAGGGTGTAATAAAGATGTATACCATCGCCCGACTTCACAGAGTTCACCCGACTTCACTGGTGCGTTAGGGCCAAAGAACCCTGATGTTGCAGGCTGGTAGATCAATGACCCAAAGACAACGCTCGTTTGGCTTCCACAGCTGTCGTTTTGGCGACTCAAACATCGACTGCTGCAGAGAGTATCACTCAGCGTATTCAGAGCGTGTAGAGTTGATGAGACTGTTTCTGCAGCTCAGCAATCGGCCTTGGACATTGTTTAAAGCCTGTCACTGCATAGGTGCCTAAGAGAAGTCTTTCTCAAGGCTTTAGCAGTTGCGTTGAATGGTCCATTGAACTACCTATAGCTGTGTTTGTCCCCCAGAGTGAAGGATCCTGCTTAGCTGATTTCCACTCCTAAATGGATTCTGCCTGGGCCTACCAGTCCAGTCAACTCGCTTCGTGTGCTGTCACCTGTGAGGCATCGCGAACGCCTGCGCCTCCTTCGTTGGAACTGCCCCGCGCTGGAGGAGCAGGTGCCCAACGGCCCTGCAACGTTACTTGGAGGAGCTGACCGTCACAAATCTTCGTTCGCGAACATTGCTCCGTTCGTAGTAAGGCCAGGAGCCCCGTCGTAGCGATGCCCTTTGATCCGTTCGTAGCGAACCTTGTTACCATATTCGGCGACTCTGTTGTCATGGGTTCGGCGACGATGGCTCGCGTGAGTGGAGACGCTGAGCGTCACAAGCACTAGAGGCGTACATAGCCAGTCAGTGTATAGCCAGCCGAAACACCGATCACTGGAAGGGCACCGACCTGGGGCATCGTGGCTGTTTTCACGAAGTTGAGGAGATGCCCTATTTCATCCTGTTATATACCAATGAATCAAGCCCCTTCTAAACCCTGAAGAGCTCTTTTTCAAAAGCATTGTGCATATATTATATATTATATATATGCACATTTTTGTATATATATATATTATTTGTGAAATTGTCCTGTTAGGTTTCATGATGCCAAATCCAACCAAATCCTACCAAGACACGCTCACACTCACTGAAATGTCACCTGGAGAACTGTCCAAACACGGGAAAGCATCACCATCTCTTCAGCACCCCAAGTCCACTTCCCATGTCTTTGGGATTCTTTGGGTACAGAGTAAAGGCCTTTCACCCCCCTATGCCGGCCCCGCCTCGGCACCACATAAGGCACGCCTTTTGTGAATCCCTGCGGCGCATGGGCCGCAGCCAATCAGCCGCAGATGTCGACGGACGCGACGTGAACGTTGGACGTTCGACTTGACGTTCGACGTGCTTCGTGGAACTTTGGTCTTTCAGATCTTGTATGATCTTCTGCCGTGTCCAACGGTAGCTATGTGACATGTGTGACATCTCCGAGCAAAGGCGGTGTCCTGACAAGTATTAACGGATTGGAAAGCGGAAAACATGGAAAACACAGCACACTGTGTCAATGTGTTTCCTTTGGTTCTTCTTTGACGTGCAAGTGGGCCTCCTCCACCAACTCATACCAACATACAAAACTAAAAAATGGAAAGAACGGGCGGCGTTACATCCCAAACGACGGCGTCGGTTTGTACCCTGTCCAAACCAGTTGTTCAGCGGAGAAAGCAGAGAACTGTCCGCGACAGCAGATGTTCTGGATCGGGGTAGTTCTCAGGGTGTAACGAAACACTTTGAATCAATATCTAGGGATCCACATACCTTCGATTCCAGAAGGTACTTGGACCCTCCAAACCTACATAACAGTGTCTCCAATCACCGTAGTTGAGAAGGTACTTGAATCCATAGGGAATATCTTGGCCAGATGTGTTGCATCATCATCAAAAGGTCAAGTACCTGCCGTTGGCCATGACAGATGAAGCACACCGGCCCAAAACATTCAAGATGTTATTAGTTCTTCATCGTGATTCATTGAAGAACTGCATGCTGAATAAGCACCTCTCCAAGAGTGGAACAGATGGGGATACGAAGGAAACCTCTAGTTCCTGCACTGGTCCACTTTTCAAAAGAATCATTCAAGCATCTACCAAGACCATCCTATTGGGTGTCCTATGGACTACTCTATATACACTACTTAGGGATCTGGTCCATTGGACACCCATCGGATGGTTCAGGTAGTGGTTGCCTGTGGGGAGGATCGATCACATCGGATACTGAAACTGGTCAAAAGATATCAAGCACAAGCGCCATGTGGTCGTGGCAACCAGTTTTGCTGAAACACCGAGTTAAAAGCTGTAGCAGAGGCTAGACGAGTCTCAGTCAATAGACGGCTGGCTTTTGCCGAAAACCTGTAGTGTGGGTTGTTGTGGGCATCCCACAGTTCAAAATTCGGAAAGGTTTCAGGGTGACGAAACGATCGTTTCGCTGGTCACGAAGTCATTGTCCGAGTGGCGTCAAGCGATCGCAAAGAAACTATTCAGGCCAGCACTAGCACAACAATGGACCCCCTGGAAGGTTGAAGGCAAAGCAGCCAGACGGTCAGACGGCACGTCCATGTTCGCTGCAGGGACGAGGGTCCGAAGGTTTCGGGCTGTTTAGACAAGTACAGTACTACCCTACAAGTCCAAAGACCTAGTAAAACCTTGTTTTATATCTCCCCGACCGAGCAGTGTTTTTGTATGACCAACTCCAATAAAACGAAGTCATTGACTTGTAGGGCTATAAGTCCCAACATCTCTGCCATCTCCCCCTGAACTGGACCTCTCAAAGCTGGATCGACGGCGATGTTGCTTTTTGCTTGCAAGAACGCTACTATAGTAATAATGCCCTTTGTTACTGGTAGCTTCTTGTTACTAATTAGTAGCTACTTGCTCCTAGTAGTAATCCCCTTGCTACTAGTGGCGATGCCCTTTTGCATCTTTATTATTTGCATCTTTGTTTCACAACGGTCCTGATCATTCCTGATCCGCCCTGATGGGTGCCCGACATGACGAAATCACATGGTTTCGTGGATGGCAGAAATGGAAAGGGTCCCATCGAAGACTCCTTCCAGAAACGGACAGGGGATGCTCCACTTCCATGTGATGTGTTCATCAGAGTGTATGTGTTCATCAGAGTGATGGTCCACTTCCATTGATGTTTCGCCCGTAGACTTTCCCCTTTCGCCCAGGTCGCTTGCCACACTTGGACTCTCAAGTTGCTGAGCGACACGGCTGGTTTGGACACGGCTGGTCCCATCAGCCCAACGGCCGACACACGGAATACATGTGGAATCCAGACAAGGCCGCACCGGCAGGCGGGGATAGCTTGAAGTATAGTGTAATTTAGAAGTTTGGGTTTCTTATTGTTTTCCTGACATGTGCTCTTTTCCATATTAGTCACCAGTGGGTTCCGGTGTGAAATGTTTCAGCAAGTTAAGCAAACAATCAAACAATCACTGTTGGGAAGCAGGAGGGAGACCGATTTTCTGAGGATGCCCTGTTTCAGAAAAGACAACCTGTTGAAGTTAAGCCAGCGAGAAAGATCACGTTTGGAGAAGACCTATTTCTGAGGACACTGAGGAAACCAGCATGACAACCTGCATGAAGTCTTGGCTCGGACGTCGTGTTTTTCCGCATTCATGGCGAGCGTGGCCTGTGTGTAGCTCAAAAAAGGGAGACCGACGACTCGTTCCGACCGGTTGGAAGGTTTGGGAAAATAGACCAGTGTACAGATTAGTTGGGAGGTTTCCCTGTTGAAATACGAATTAGCTTTGGAAGATCGCATAAAGAGTTTCTTTTCTCCTGCAACTCCGTGCTTACCATGGCACACCATCAAACTCGTCCAGTGGGCGTTGGCAAGTGGAGTCCTCTTGTCCAGCCCAGAGCCTCCCTCGTCCTAAGGTGTTGGCTCTTCCATGGGACAAGCTTTGAAGCTGCAGCTACTTTGGCCAAGCGGAAGATTGACATAGAAACCTGTTCAACCCAGGAAGGTGATGATTTGTGCAGGATATTGCAGGATGATGTTGAGGTTGAGGGTTGACAGGACGGCTGCAGTTTGCGTTTGCAAAGATAGCTCAAAGATAGAAAAGCAGGTTCGAAAAAGGAAAAGAACCATCATGATTGAGTACATAATCCATCATATTCCAGTAGATCATGTGCTGATTTTCCAAGCTGTTATTCTACACACTCATGCAATCAGACAGAACCATCCAGACCCCTTCGCCCCTGTGGCCACGGGCCACCAAAACCTATTCTCCCTTAGCCCTTCGCGCATGTCAATGTTGGGCTGACCGTTTGACAACCCCTGATTTGACGGTCATGACTGCACGTCAGAGAATCCTTGTCTTACAAAACTCGTTGGCGATGAGAACAGCCGGTCCCCTTTTTGTTGAAAGGATATTATTGATAATGTCACTAGACTATACTGTAGTATGGGCTGGATGTCACATCCCTACTTTCTCGAAACGTTGTTTCATGTTACAGTTGCATCTCATCTCGTTTGACCGAAGCAATCTCCATTTAATTCGAACCTTGAGCAGCGGATCCGGAGGGCAACAGCGGATGCAACAGATCCGGAGGGCAACTCAACCTGAGAGTATTGCTTCGGAGGCCAAAACAACACAAATGGGATTTGGGGGGCCTATCCACTTTCATGTGATGTCTTCAGAGTGTCGGATCACGACTTCTTCAGACCGAGCCCTGCCTTTTCCCAGGCTGGCATTGCCACATGGCGAGCATTGAGAGTGAGTAGAGGGGGGGAACCTGTATAAGGAATCCACTAATACTCATGCAACAGATATCAACAGATTGTTATAGAACATGTGTGTGAACTCCCCTCAAAAAGACTATTCTTTGTTTTTAAGCATATTCGATATATATATATACACACTATATATTTCCCCCAACGTGGTAACACTAGGCCGGGGTTCTTCCGGTAATGGTTAAGGACGGGTGTTTGATCGGAGGTGCTCATCGGCGTGTTCGGCTAATTCGCTGCTATTTACAGTACATTCATTCCCCTCGAGATCTTCGAAGCGCATTTCGACTGCGCAGGCTCGCAGAATCTGCTGGGCCCGAGCGGGTGCTCTTCGAGACTCTGCTCTCGTTGTGGTGCCATGCAAATTTTCGGACTTGGTGATCACATCACGTGGCAGGCGCAGGGGAAACCCTTTTTTGGTGCTCTAAAGTCGGCTTTTCGTGACAGGTGCAGGCGGCTTTATGTCGATGCGCAGATTTCGTGCCAGGATACTTTGGACATGGCGGTGGTCTTCGCTGTGCTTTGATTTCGTGGCAGGTGCAGTGCATCGTGACTTGGACATGTGGCTTGTTTTGCACATTTTTAGCCATTCTCTAGCGAAAGCTGCGTTTGGAATCTTGATGTTGGCTTTGGAAGCGCCGCTCTTGCAGCAAATTGCCTTCGATGTGAATATTGATATGAAAATTTCGTGGCAGGCGCAGTACTTTGTGGATCTTGAAGTGCAGATTTCGTGGCAGGCGCAGCACTTTGTGAACCTTGAAGTGCAGATTTCGTTGCAGTTGCAACACTTTGTACCTTGAAGTGCAGATTTCGTGGCATGCACAGCACATTTTGGACCTTGACTTGTGGATTTCGTGGCAGCCGCGGTATTTTGTGGATCTTGAAGGTCTTGAAGTGTAGATTCTGTGGCAGGCGCAGTGGTTTGTCTTGAAGCGCAGATATCGTGGGAGGCGCGCTGTTCTTTCATATGTGTTCTCAGACATCTCTCTTCACTTCTATATAGAACTCTAGAACTCTGGACCATCATCACCTCCACCACCATCATCACCCATCAACATCATCGCCACCATCACCACCATCATCACCAGGGCCACCACCATCACCATCACCACCACGACCAACACAACCACCACCACAACCGCCACCACCACCACCGCCGCCATCACCGCCATCACCACCATCACCCATCTCTTCAGCCCAGCACGTGTAGATCCAGATCTTGTGTTTCGACACCTTTTGACCTTAGACCGTAGACCTTTAGACACACTGTTTGAGGTCTTTTGCCGGGATTATTTTTAAATTCATGATTTAAAAAAGTTATAAAAGTACAACCCAGCTAGGGCTCAGTTTTCCAGGTTTTCAATAATTCACTCACATAATCAAAGGTCGCTGATACCAACGCGTTCCATTCCGTTGGCTGCATTCCCCGGCCAGTTTGGAGCTTCTCAACTTTTCCACGGCAGAAGTCCCCTTCCGAGGCGGAGAACGACTTTCGCCTGGACCTCACAGGCTCCAACGCGGGCACCCTGTACGGCAAGGGGATTTACTTGGCTGAGAACGCCCCTGGGCAAGATGATGGCCTCGTGATAGGAAACAACTGGAGAGAGGTGAACCGTGTGTCATTAGCATGGATCCCGGGGAGGTGGGAATTTTAGTGATCATTTGTACAAACCGATGTCCTTCCACACTAACTATATATATATATTATAGATCATTTCTCTCCCACTGCCTCATATAGTAGGTTGTTTGTCCTCCCGTGAGGAGTTTTGCTCAAGAGGCAGGCTGAAGTCTGAGGTGAGGTTTGGTTGATGATTGTTGTTTCATGTGAAAATTAGTCTGACTGGAAATCCAGAACATGTTAGTCTTCACAGTCTTCACGCCCGAGTTTCTAGCTGGGGTGGTGGCTGCACCATTTGGACTGATTCGACAGAAAATGGCCAAGCAATACACGCGCGTACGCTCGTCTTATGTGTATATATATATATATATATCATATCCACACCAGGTCTTATTATCCACATGGGGTCCAGACTGGAACTGCCTGGCCGACGGAAAAGCATCTCTCCTGCCTTCTTGCATGGCGACAAGGGAGGGACATGAGTAAAGTCACCCCATTCGGGCATCTTGAGGGACCTAGCAATCCCATGTCTTGTTGGGACACAATTGATTGTGACCATCCCACACATAATCATCAGACTTCAAGATAGATGGTTCGTGCGGGCATGTCCGGGCACACTGATCCTTTGCAAGCCGAGGTGAGTAAGTCAGGTTCTTAGCTGTTGCGCCAGAGCAATGCGCGCGAACGCCAGTGTTGGGTAATGTGTGTTTGTTTTGTGTTTTTGGTTTCTCTTCAGAAGGTTGACAGTAAGGAAGACCCGCTGAAGTTGACTTTGAATATTATAGTTTAACATCATCAACGGTTTGTAAAGCCTCCTGACTGTTGAGGAATTTCGCTTGAGAGCCTTTTCCGAACCCCCTGTGGCAGCGCACAGGCTGGCAGGGTTCCTGTGAAGAGAAAGTCCTTGATAGTCACGAATTGGGTGGGACACCATATTCCTTTAAAGGATTTTTAAAGGAAAAAGCGATCCAACCACGCTTGCAGTCGAACAAGCACCAAATCAATGATGGATCAACCACAGTTAAGCCACGGGTTTCTTTGGATTTGATGGATTGGGGCTCTGATCACATGGTAGTAGGACTAGTGGTCAGCTCCAAAACGGCAGACTTCGATTTCCGGCACCAAGTTCCTTTGATCCTATCGCACTTGTTCTTTGCAGTCGCCATTCTGTCCGTTAGGATGGAGGTGAACATCAAACATCCTTGAACCTCCTTGAACCATAGATCAACACCTGGATTTGACGCCACTGGTCGAGGTCGGATGAGTATGGGGAAGGCCCTCGTGGCACACGGCCGGAGGAGGAATCTGTGAAGGAAGATCGTTCCCAGGTGCGGCAATGGATGTGGTGTCTCAACCATCGGAATGGCCATCACGAGAAGACACGGATTCTTCAGTCCATGCGTGTCCCCCACTGTGCCACTGAAAATGGATCCTCGCCGGGTAATTCCTCCAACTCAGCTCGCCATTGTGGCCACGTTCTTCGAACACCTCGGGCTTAGCCTGGCACCAGGGGAGCGGGAGAGTGCCCCATCATTGCACTTGTGGGGTCGGTCAGTCCAACACCGGCGCGTCGAGCCCGTCGTTGTCGAGTCGCTGGGGGACGGGTCTTCTCTTGGCTTGTTGGTGTTAAAAGCACGCGTGGCAGCGCGTGGCAGAGTGATGATCGGCATTGGTGCAAACTTGGAAGGTCTTGTTGAGGGAACGTCAGTTGGTGTTTGGACCCCTTCGCAGCGTTTTGGACGTTTGGGGGTTCGGTGGTTGGGAAGACTGAGATGCTTGACCGACGAGTCAAACGGAAGATCACTTAGAGCCAGGTCACAGGGCCATGCAGCTTTCCCCTCCCAGCATGTCACGCTCAGATCCCACTAGCAACAGCTGTTTCTCCAGCACGTTGAAAGAGATTCTGCATGGCGTCGTCCTGGGCGAACCGGAAACATCAGGAAACCATGCACAATGTGCACACATCCCAAGTCCCTTTCAGGGGGCCCATCATCCAAAGTGCCGAACTCACTTGAACTGTTGCACCACTGTTCCGCAGGTGCCCGTCCCTCCTGCGCCTGCCCACACCCGTGGAGCTGTGGAACCTTTGACTCGTCATTCCGTGATGCTGGTGTGCCGCACTCTCTTGGGCAAGGCGTGGTGGGCGTGCCACCTGCGTGCCACGCCCTAACAGATTGGCACAGCACATGTGCGACATCGGTATGAAGCCAATGGTCATAAGCTTCAGATCTAAGTGCGCGAAGACTTGGAAGATCTTGGAAGGGTTTCAGCAGGGCTGGCTGTGATGGGTTCTTCGCGTGTTTCTCATGGAAGGTCACAACGAACGTCATCATGTGGAGTCCAGAACGAAAAACGTACATTGAGAGTTTGAGGCCTGCTCGTAACAGGCCAAGATCCACCTAGGCAACCAAAGGCAACCGACAAGCACCACACCGTACCCTTAAAAAATACACATACCAGGACCTTTAAAACTGACCTCCAAGTGACCAAGTGACCTCATTCTCTGGAATCTCAAGGACGGTCACTTCGTTTCTGTCAAAGCTTTTGTCGACTCCCTGAAAACTGAAAAAAATCGTTGCCTACTAGCCTACTAATCTCGAGTAGTGTTTTGGAAAACAAATAATGTTTTTCTTGTCACAATATAATATACCGTTCCTGATTGTCGAGTGCAATTATCAAACACAACAATTGCAATGGACTTCAAAGATTAACACAGGTAGATTCTCTATGGTGCAGTATTGCAATTGATATCTTGTTGAGGAAGCCTCCAGCTGCCCCGAATGTCCCCAAAATGCTCAGAATGACTGGCTCCACCACACATTGCAGGTGCTGTACAACGATGAGGTGAACCCTTCACCTGATGCCATCCAGCGCAGCTGTTTGGCCAAGGCGCTACGGCTTGGAACAGTGGATGGGAGAAAAGGGGGTTGGGTAACTTGCTGAGCCAGCTATACCAGCTTGTAACTTTCTGGTTTATGCCTGTTTTTGCTTTGTACTGCCTACTTTCAGGAGCTCAGTAATGCGTTGAGTATGATTGGGTGAACCTGCCTGGGAGGCATCAAATATGATCAACAACCGGCCGGCTCGCTTCGAAGCGGCGGCCCCAAAGAGTATTGTTAGGGGTTGGTTGGGGTTGGTATGTCAAGACCTCCAAGGCAAAGGTTCTCAAAAGGTTTCCAACTTATTCTTTCAGAGGAATGTTATGCAAGGCTCCCTCTGGACTTGACTCCCTGGAGCCAGCACACCCCTAGCCGTTTAGATACATGTTGTATCGGTCCGATGTTGATTCAACACCCAGTGATTCGGTCCGCCACGCGATCGCAGGGTGCGCCCTACGATTCGGTGCTGGGCGATCGGAGAAAGATCCATGGGACCTTCCGCGAGTTCGTCTTGTCGCATGGCCCGAGCCGGACTGGACTGGGGCCTGCCGTCCCCGCGAGGGGTTTGGAGAGGTGCATGAGGACGTGCGAAGCGAATTTCAGACCATGAAAAGGAGACTCTAAGAGTTACAAACAAACCATTAAAACACATATATTGTGTTTACTCTTGTTTTTACTCTTGAAGTCTCCTTTGCTCCTAGTAGCTTCTTGCTCCTAGTAGTACGGCCAGGAGCGCCCCTAGTAGCATCCTTGTTCCTAGTAGCGATGCCCTTTGCTCCTAGTAGCTTCTTGCTCCTAGTGACCCTATGCATGTAAGTCAATGCAACTATTCCATACTATACATAGAGGCTTTTGGGAAGGAGGGCAGTGGGCACATCTGTGCGGGTCACGATTCGGAGAGGGGGAAGACGTCACGACGCCAAAAAAGGTCGGTAAAGAGGTTTTTGCAGGGCTCGGGTGACTTTGTATCTATTTCAATTTTATGTCAATTATGTCAATGTCCATTTGACAGGAGGTGGTTGGCTGGGGCTTGGCCCAGCCACGAGGAGAAACAGTACATGTATCCACTTCAAGGGCACTTTGAGGTTGTACAAACGTGTTCCTCAAAATTGAGGAGACTTGTGGAAGGCCGTGGCGCCACCCAGCAGCGCTGCGCAAAATTCGAGTGATCCGCGTCTAGCAGGTAGAATTGATGATTTTGTCTGCAACCCAGTAGCCTGCCTCCACCAGAACGAGTGATAATAACCATGTTACATCATCTTACCATTCACTGCCAATCACTCAAGGAGTATTTGGATGAAGCGCCTCATTCCGAGCATGACCAACCTTCTTCCGAGCACGCGGCCGCCCAGAAAGGGTTCAGGAACCATGGCCGGGCCGGAAGAAAGACATCCGTCACCGAGCGAACGAAGGCCTCAATTCTATACACCGAGCGCACGAACGACCCGGTCGTTCCGAAGTGTCCCGGCGCCATTGGACCAAGAAAGACACGCTTTGGGGTATGCCACTAAGTAGCCGAATCAAATCTTTTGGTGGCCCAACCCCCAACATCTCCTCAACTATGTATATATTCATATATATATATATATACACCTGTTCAAATCAAGTGTATAATGACCGAGCCATACTTCTTCAGAGGCACCTTCTATAGGAAGGTCAGAGAAAACCTGAGAAAACTCCCGAAAGCTAACCCCCCTTTCTTTCCATTCGAAGCACCAGCTCCTGCGGTGTCGCGTTTCACACACGCCCGTATGGGTCTCGCGGCCACCGTTCGTTTGCTCCTGCGGTGTGCGCCCCAGGTATCACGATGACCAGGCGTGCAAATCCCGGGATTGGTGGGACGAAAGACCGCCAACATCTACCATCTACCAGGGCACTCTAAGGGGTAACGAACAATTACCGGGGTTCGGCCTGTCAGATATTCTATCAAGGATCGCCGTACATGTCAAAGAGTCAGGTTTGTTGGAAGTTGAACGCACTTAGTCTCGCTCCGCCCCATCCACTGAGACCAAGTTGACAAATCCCCTTGAGCTCCGGAGGTGGGCCCATGAGTCCTATGAGTTTGCTCCCTACAGGATGACCAACATCCAAACCCTTTGGAGGCTTCCAACCTACTAGCGATGGCCTCCAAGCTAATAGCGATATGGTCTTCAACCTACTATAGCGATTGATATTGATCTTGGCGATCTTTGTTTGAATGATGTTTGAGAGCCATCCCACTTTTGGCCGGGTGATACCATCACTGGAGGGCACTGGATTCGCATCGATCGTAGATGATGTGGACCGGCCATGGACATGGACCGGGGACCTAGCTGGCTTCGCAGTTGAAATGCTTGGTGAGATCGGAACTGGCCAACTTCCAGACCAGTATCGAGCGCGATCCTCATCATTGCAGTGGCACAAGTTTGGCAGGTTCCTTTCTAGGCTTTGGAGCCTAAAAATAGTTTCTCTGACCGTGCCAATGCCCAATGCCAGGGTGCAAAGATGTGTTACTTGAAGGTTCAGCCAGTACCCTGTTTGGCAATACGCCAGTGCAATTAATGAATGAACATCCCCTCAAATCCTCGGAGTCACCAAATAGTCTCCTTCGTCCTGAATCTGGCTTTACTCTTCTCCATCCTGCCTCTCCATCCAACGGGTATGCAATGAAAGCTCTTTGGGTAGTTTAGTCGCCCCTGGAATTGTCCGGGTGAATTTGCTGTGGCTTATTGAAGGTATATCCCGAGTTCATCGTGGTCTATGAGCGAATCTACTTTCACGAGCGGTTCCAGGCACTGCCTGCGCGGGTTGACCATGCAATCAGGGAGCAGAAGCGTAGGAAGCTTCACACTCAGGTGCTTCACTTCATTTAAGTGAGTAGGATAGCACTGCATCGCAGCCAAGAAGGAAAGTTCACAAGTTGCTCCAAGTGAGCATAGGGACCGTAAGGTCCATGATCGTAAAGCACGGAAGATCATCAAAAGCTCCTTCAGTTGTTGTACTTTCTCCCGGAAAAGGCGCCGACTCACATACTGTAATTGGATATTATTACATATTATTACTCAATATTGAATATGATCCTAATAGATGACTCAAGATTACCACGTTTAAAATTAAGTCAGCTTACAGTGAAATTTCCTTGTGGGAAGCACAAATCTGATCACCACCCTTCCCAGGATATTTTTGGTCAGATGGTGGAGCGATGCAGGCAAGATGGGCGTCACTCACAACGGACGGCGCTGTCTTTCCGGTGCAAATCGCTTCCTCCGAGCATAGTCTGATCATTAGGTCATTAGGTCATTGATGGTGTTCATGAGGCTTCCTAGTTGAGGGGTCGGCTTTCCGAAGATTTCTGAAGTGTTGTTTTCAATGTCATAGAGTTGCAGGATCTTCCAAGGTGTTTTCTTTTTTTAAAGCACAAATGAGCACTATGAGCACTATGAGCACTCAGCACGACTCATGGCGACGAAGAATACCAGGCCACTTCTTGCTGAATCAAAAGCCACTCCGCCATGTCTAGACGCTCATGGACCCGATGTTTTTTGGGAGTGGATTTCAGGAAAGATTGGGTTAAGCGGCCCCCTCCGACTTCGGATTGCTTCGGATCTTGCCTGATGTGGGCGCTCCAGGCGACGGCAGTTCCAGGGTCCCAGCGCCGAAGAGGAGAAGGTGTTGAAATCCCTATGGGATCGCTATGCCATGCCACACCAGGCTGGGGACCAATGACACCCAATGACTTGGAGACTGGGATCAACTCAGAGAGTTCGCTCGCCAAACTCAGTGTTTCTGGGTTTCCTTCTACGAAGGGCCTGTGTTCTGTGCAGCTTCTGTGAATGTTGGGAGTTGGGACTAGAGGGATTGTACATCATCGTGAATGTTGGCCTGAAATTGTATACCGTGTGGCGTGGCTGTTTTGAAGAATCCAGCCGGAAATGGATCAACAGCCCCCAGATGTATGGCAATTGAATAGAAGTGCATACACTTGAGGATGTTCTACATGCCTCCGTTTTTACCAAAAGTTTGATTACTCAGCCTTGTGAAGGGTAGATCTGCAATGATTGGCATCAGTGCAGCATACCTTCTAAAGAAGTCCGGAAGCACAAAGCTTCCGCTGTGCCATGGCTCAGCCCTGCTTGGCCCACACCTGCTGCTCATGTAGCTGTGGCTGGTATCAACCAGATATGAACTTGGCCCCGGCCGATGCATGGTGGAAAGAAGCCATCCGACATGAGACCGAGAATCGCTGGTATGTCCGACAGCTCCCAGGTGCATGGGCTGCCACGTTCGGTGGCTCGCAAGTGGATTCCCTGATCAAGCACCAGGTGGAAGCACCTTCGGATCGTTCCTTCCGGCCCTATGGCCGCCGGGTCTTGTCCGAGCCCCGGGAATCCGCAGACTTCAAGAAGGCCATGGTGTGGTTCGATGAGCCCCAGAGTCCAGAATGCCGATACCATCCCACCACGGCAGTACCGCCGCCAGCCGCCGTGGCCACTCCAGCCGCCGTGGCCACTCCAGCCGCCATGGCCGCCCCGGCCGCCATGGCGGCCGCCCCGGCCGCTGTGGCAGCCGCCCCAGCCGCCGTGGCCGCGCCTGCACCAGAGATCCTGCAAAGGGTGGAGCCACGGGCGCGCAGCGTGGAGCCTGTGGTGGAGGCAACGCAGCGACGCTGGGTGCTGTTTTTTGATATAAATTTTGAGAAGTTTCTTCTTTAAACACATCTAAATCAACTGTTCAACCTTTACTTGAGATGATCCCACTGACTCATATTTTTTTCAAGTGAGTTGACAGTTGAAACCGCCAATTAGGAAAGGAGTTCGTTGAGGTGGAGCCCCAGACCAGCGAAGCGACGCTTCGCGTTCGCTCAGCTCGACCGGAGGACGGTTCAGTGAGGACGGAGGTGAAGTCAGTGGAGACTCAGACGATGCCGGCGAAGATGCCCAAAGCAAAGCGAAGCAAGTCTTTGCCAGGCAACCTGTCTTTGACAGATTCGGACATGATGCACACATGGTTGTAAGATGCTGGAAATCAATGTATGTAAATTTGATTTTACTCGTTCATATTATTACAATAACATTTACATGGACATCTACATGTGTGTTCAGTCTTGTGTGTGCATTTTAGTTCATGTACGTTCATGTATGACGGCAAACATCAAGTAATATTGCTGGGTTGACTGTTGACGCACAGATGAGCAAGAAATGATGCTAGTGCGCACGTGTAGAGGGTAGTGGGGTTGCACACAGCGTGAATGTTTGCTTCAACCCTTTTCGCCGCCGAAATCGCTTGGCACAGGCACCACAGAGTCCCGGCCCAAGCCACGTTTAGGTAACTGGAGTTTTCTTCAGCAGCGGGACATGGCCGCCTCCACTGTGAAGCCCAAATTCAAGCCTCCACCTCGTGGCATGCCCGTGAGGGTGAACTATGTCAGACCGGAGAAGCTTCCCATTTCCTGCACCTGCAAGGCTCACACGCTTTGCATTTGTGCCTTGGGAGGAGAACAGTAGTTAAAGTATGTTAAAGTTAAGAGCAACAACAATAAATCACAATAATCATATATATATATTATCACAAATATATAATACATATATATATATACATACATATATAATATCTAAATATTATAGCATTGTATAAGCACTTGACTGGCCCAACCCCCCTTTTGTTGTTTATTTATCTCTTGGCAATTTAATTGTTTTATGGTTTTTGAAAGTTCCTTTTGTAATTCTGCACTTTTTCAGTGACCGTCATTTGTGTGAGGTTTTCTCAGGCCTCCTTGCGAAGAATTGTTATTCCATCCAATAGGGGAACTCGCTATCATCCAATCCCGTGTCCGGTCTATTTTGTCATGTTCGCCCTGTCACTTTCAATCTTTTCTCTTGAGCAGACCCCTTTTGTCAGGTGGATATCAAGGTGATCTTCGCTGGGTCTCGCCCACCTTGCGACGCTGAGATAGTCTGTCCATTTAACACAGGTTTCGGGTTTTGCATGGAATTCGTGCGCTCCCTGACAGACTTATGAACAGATTAGATGGTCTGGTGTAGAGCAGCTACATCGATCCATTGTTTTTGCTCAAGACTCAAATTGCTTCTATCTAGTGTCGTGGAGGAAATAACATTGCAACTTCATGTTTGCTGTACCATGAGCGCGTTCTGATTGATTACGCAAAATCTTCGAAATCCCGCTGCCGATGGCCGGGGGAGTGTTTGTGTACGTTGTATCATAATGATGAGACAATCCCAGATGATTCAAGCCTCAAAGATGGCCAGATGATTTTTCAGGTAGCTTCCCCATGCCCATCCCAGTGATAGCCTGAGAATCCCCGACAATATAGGCTGGAGAAGACAAGGGATTTTGCTGACCAATTATCACCCAAGATCACATCTCAGACGCTGCCACAAGCAACAAATCCCTTGAACAAGCTGAGGTTGTTCCAAAGAGGCAGAAAAGGCAAAGCCAAGGAAAATCGCTTGGGTTGTCCCATTGGACAACAAAGCCACGAAAAATGGGACATTTGATGTCGAAAGACCTTGGATGCATTAAATGTTCGATCCTGATTTCTTCTAGAGTCCCTCCCCTGGTACTTGGACTTGGCATTTATATGATTAGCAATGGAACTAATTCGGACTAATTCGAGAAACAGGTTGAGAATGGTCGTGTGCCCCTTCAGCAGATATGCCAGAGAACGATTGTATTTCTCCAACTGTTTTCTACTTGCAGTCCTACAATCTGAGTGCGACCCTTTCATGCGTAGCCCATTGCAAGCCTCTACGTATATATGGCTGGCTGAAGAATCTCAATCACAGCGAGACTGAGATCAATTGGCTGTACTGTCTCATTTGGGTAGGTGCTCATCAACAGGACAATGCAAAATTCAGCTGATGGTGAGATGTTCGTGCGCCGTGCTCAAAACAGCTGCGGAGCAATGTTTATGCAGCTAAAACATGCAAAAACAAGACGCAGGAACCACATAGGTTTGGGTGGGTTGGATGGGTACACATGTTTGGCCACAGCCATGTTGTACCTTCGCAGGACCTATAGGACATGTTGCACCTACTTGACGATAGATTTGAATTTCGAACTTAGGGTCCCTTGTATTTTCCACTGCCGCCCATGTATAGAAGTGGGATTATGCAGCAAGATGACGCACCTTGCTTTCAGATTCCATCAAACCTTTTAAAGATTCCATGAAACCAGATTCCAGATCACTCTGGCACAGAGTCCATCAAACGGCTCTTTGAGTCCAACTGTTTCCTCTCTTTGCTCGAGACATGAGGACACATGACGGTGTCACCGTGTGTACCCCGTGTCACAGTGTACCCCGGCCAGCGTGTGACCACTCGGCAGGTGAAACGGTAGATACGGGTGGTTCGGTTAGGCATCGGGTGGAGTCATGTAGGTCGCCATCACAGCATGGAGTTGGAGTGTTTGGGAGATGCTGTGATGTAGAATCTGGATGAATAAGAAGCTAGTAGGAAGAAGTTCATCGCTACTAGTAATAAGGGCATTACTACTAGTAGCTTCTTGCTACTAGTAGTAATGCACTTGTTACTAGTAGCGATGCCCTTGTTACTAGTAGCTTCATGTAGAATTTGGATGAGTAAAACAACCCCTGTGGATGATTGCAAAATCTCTTCACATGGGGTTGACACAGCCTACATGAGTACAGCCTACATGATATGTACGAACACAGCCCCGGCTCCAAGAATCATGGAATGTGGAGGGCAAAAAGAACCAAGCATTGTTGTTTGCTACTAGTAGCAAGAAGCTACCAGGTGGAGGCCATCGGTATTAGGTTGGAGGCCATCGCTACTAAGTAACAAGAAGCTAGTGAACAAGAACCTGTTTGATCCTGTTTGATCGGGAAAAACAGGACTCGCGGAGCTGTGCCATCCACTTCGTTTGGGGGGGGAGGGCGCCTGTTTAGAGTGTACAATTTTTCTTTGAACGAAGTGGCAGGTCTTTTGTGCCATGAAAGCCTTGGACCTTCGGACCTTATACAGTTGACATTTGTTGTTTGTCAAATTGCAAAAGAGGTAGAAAGTGTATCGGGCATCCAACTTATCAGAGCACTCCGCTCCTAGCCCAATTGTTAAATCATTGGCAGAGGTTTCACTGTGTTGCAGAATCTCCCAGCGAAGACGCATACAGTACTAGTTCGCCATACTGACCAGTGACACCCGGATACGTGCGATACCCGGTCAGGGCCAGATCGATAAGTGGCAACTCCTGGATTTGCTGAAGGCCATCGACCAGCCCCCGGAAGATGAAGAGGTGAACCATTTCGATCGCGTTCTTCGCGGGCGCTGATTTCAGTCGCGCGACAACGGCAGTCGGGTGACGATAGTTGGTTGTTTTTCTTGTGTTGTTTTCAAGGTGTTCGTTGGTCAATGGGTGAGCAGCTTTTTCCGCTGTTTGAAGATGCTCCCAACAGTTGCAACTGCGCAAGATGCCCAGCTAGCTTCAACCCAAATCCAGGTGTGCAGAGTGCTGTGCTCGATTTGATGCATTTCACCCGACTGACACTCAGCGACAGATCTGCGTTCCGGACCCTGCGGGTTTCATAGAGATATCTTGTGGAAGGAAGACGTCCTGCAAGACCAACAGGCCCAGATTAGTCGACTGTGATCCTGTTTGCAAGACTGTTGACTACTACTCTTGGTGTGTGGTTCACAGTGACACGTGGATAGCGGTGTTGGACAGATGAAAGCCACAAGCTTCTATCAGTTCTTTTGATAGTCATGGTTTGCTTCCAAGTGGTGTGGCCTTACTTCCATCAGTGCTGTGGAAACAGAGTGTCCGGCCACCTGGCCAGGGTGATCTGGACGAGACCTTTAGAGAGACTTGTCCTGGTTAATCTGTGAAGCGAGCCGCAACGGTATAGAGAATACATGGGACTGGCATATGTACATTGAGGTCCATGCAGATTTCAATCAGACATATTATGGTAAGTTATATGTACTGTATACTATATACATTCCCACACATGCATTTCAACATGCAATCTACACACGCTGCCCTTCAAATCAAAAGTCGGCCGTTATTGAATGGTTTAGCAATATTGAGTTGTATAGTAGTAGTGTTATACAGTATAAAAAATTACGTATACATATACATACAGTAACATACATACAAACATATTTCATACATGGATTTGCTGGTACTGCTTCCATGCACTTTCCACTGCCACGCTTTTGGGATTACATGGATCTATCTCCCCATATCTCCCCTGTGAGCTGTCAACCAACTAGACTGGATTGCGAGATGTTGATCACAGCTGACAAGTCAAAACACAAGATGTTGACCACGCTTGTTTTCAAGAATGGGACAATACAACTGACTCCACACAAATGCTTGATGGTGTCCTTTGTGGGCCTATAGCTGAATCATTTGGCTTTCTTACTTGAGATTGGTGCAACAAACTACTCCGACGCACTCCAGGAATCAGGTTGTACAATCAAAACCAGCAAGTCATCCAGAACTCCAGAACTTAAATTGGAAGTCAGATCCCAAGGATTCTTGGCAAGTCAAGGTTTGTCTCAACGAGCCGTCGTGGCTCCATGTGGGGCTTGGTTCAGAGACGTCGAGGCACACTTCAATTCGCGTCCCGCCCTGATGTTTGATTGGCGGCGTATTGCGGCAAACAGAGGCTTCTTGCAAAGACCATTGGCATTGACCCTCTCTCCAACAATCATGGAAGTGGACGTCCTGACCCCTGCAAAGACCATTCTAAGACCAAACAGGGTCCACTGAGTGGACATTGGGAGGAAATGCTGAGGGTCCTAAGAGACCGTCCTAGGGCCCTGTGTTTTGATTGATTCTTTGGACTTCTCAGACTTCTTAGACTCGACCCCCTTGACTCCACCCCCGTCTCCGTCCGACAGATCGGACCCGACCACACCGGAGGCGTCGACGGGGCGGAGGGTGTTAGTCACCGCGCTTCGAAGGTGTTCGACTCAAAGCCACGCGAAGCCCCAGGGTCTTAGACCCTCCAGTCGTACCTTCGTTTCGGTTCGGTGTTTGGGGTGGGTGCCAGGAGGGTCTAAATACCTTCTGAGGTACTTGGAGGTGTAGGGGAAGGGCCAGGGGATGTCTCAGGTGCCATCATTCCATCCCGAAATGGATGGAAAAAATAATACCTCTGACTTAGGTGAGTGGTGCCATGACTGGAGTTTGGGTTGGTGATTTGGGGACTGGTAGTGATGTTCTGATTGTTTATTGTGATCCCTATAGCACCTATTGGATCCCTGGGATTGAGTTCTATTCTGCACTCCTTCCCGTCTGGGTTCGTTTCGTGGAGAGTGGACCGGTAGTCCCACCCAGTGAGAAAAAATGGGTCGAAGCTCGGTAAACGTACCCATCCCGGTCTTTTGAGAAGGGCAAACTTAAGCCAAATCCTTCAAACCTCACCCAAAAACCATGGAAAACGAGTGCAAAACAGTGTGCCCTCACAGCAATCCCCCTCTCTTTGCTTTGGTAGATAGGTGATATAGAGTCATGAGTCATGATAGTTCCCGCCCAGTCTTTTTCTGGAAAACCGGTCACTGTGATCCCTTTTGGCTCGCTCAGGAGATCAACACCGGTGGCAGCGGTCGCATTACCTGGGAGGTGAGTCGAGAGCAGTCCTTACAAGAGGGGTGTCTTAGACATGTTGAGAAATATCATGTATAGTATCTAGGCTTCACAGGAGTCATCAGCATAGGATTCATAGGAATGATTATGTTTCTATCCATCGTGATCCATGTTCCATGTCTTTGCTAGTGTCATGCTGGTCCTTGCTGGTTTGTCATGGATGCTGCCACAAGCATTCATTGGCGGTCGCTCGTTGAAAAACCACCTGACCGGCCTGTATTTTTGTGAATTGCCCTGACCGGCCTGGAGAACTTCAAGTTCTGCCAGGAATTCCTGGCCGAAATGACCGATCGCGTGCATCATGCCTGCCGGTGAGGCTGGTGAAACCAATCGCGCGGATTGATTCTCTCCTGGGTGGTGAAGCTTGCATCTAGAGCAAAAGACCTCTGTGGGATGAATCTAGGATGAATTCCTTGCAATATGACAAAATCTTCATAAGAGGCCAACACAGATGTGGCTCTTACTGCGAGTTGATCCTGGAGAACATCAAGGTTGTTTGGGGGTTGTTTTGGTTGCTACTTGAGTCACAACAGTTGCCACAGTGTGATCTCACTGGGCTCGCGTGAGACTCGAGCATGCCAAGACGCCCACCAGATGCTTCAGCTCGATGTACTGGTCGCTGAGCACGAATCATGTACTTTCACAGCCTTGGTTGGTTGGTTCATCAATTTAGAGAGGAATCCCCGGTGGTAGAAGCGCTTTTAGGGTACCTGGTAGATACAACCCCATTTATATATATATATATATAGTCCCATATAGTCCCTATAAGGTAAGGGTGGACATCACCCAAAAATGAACGTTCTCGTTTTAGCTCCGTCACTGGGCATCTCGATTACCGGTTGGTGGATTTCACTTCCACCGCATCCAGTTGAAGCGGATTTCGACGCTTTAGGTTTCCACGCTTTCGGTGGGATGGTGCTTCAAGAATTCCTGCATCAAATCCCATCCCATCCCTCTGGTTACTGGTTCCATTCCCTCCCCATCCCCACCCAAAAACAGATGGTGTGGGGGCAACACACCATACGCCGCCGTACACAACTCGTGGCGAACCGCTCATTTTTCTACGACGGAGGATGTGTCTGGACATGTCAGAGGCTTTCGGAAAGGATCACCTTTTACCGCAAGACGTGTGCCATGAACCAAATCCACAAGACGAGGAGCGAAGGAAAATAGTGGGCACCCGCAGCCCCACCAGCTGCTAGCCGCTGCTATGAGTATAGTCGATCGTAGCCGTATACTGGTAGGTTTGATTTCCATTGATTTGAACTAGTTGTGCTGGATCGAACGGTGATGGTAGATGATAGATGATTTGTGAGGACTGTGAGGCCTTGGCTGTTTGGAAGAGCTAGATCAACCGGGACCTGTGGGGGAGGTGCAGTAATTGCAGCAGAACAAATCCCAGGTCGCTCGATGTATGAAAATGTGACCTACATGTACCAGCCAGTTTAGGATTGGTTGCAGTTCAATGAGTTCAAAGTATGCTCTTCGGTTTCGGGTGAAAGCTTGATCGAAGGAGCATGAAGGACCCATGTTTGTGCAATGGCTTGTCTTGACCGACAAAACATCGCACCACAAAACTTTGGCAGAGCTACACTTTTCAAGAGCTCGGAAAGGGCACCACCTGTGAAATCCTCCGCTACAAGTAAAAAGAGCTGCCAAAAGAGGAGACAAAGTTGTGGAGGCAAAGGAATCAGGGAGAAGTATTGGATCTATCCCAGCATCCTAGCTTTGAAGTCCTGGGAACCATTGGTTCTAAGTTGAACCTCACGGGGTGTACCTTCAATCAAACATCGCAGCTGCTGTACACGAAGTACGCACTCAGTGGAAGAATCAGATCTTGTCCACCCAGCATGTGTATGCCTCGCTCAACTCTCCTCAACGTCGTTCTGGATTGAACGACCATAGCTGACCCCATTCAGTTTCCGAGAACAAAAGGTGAACCTTCTTCCACCTTTCCTTTGTTTTTTTGTAGATGAAACAACACTACGTCCAGGTACACAAGGTTCAAACTGCGCATCAAGCATTTTTAGAACCACGATGCAGCAGGAGCTGTTACACCTGTGCTGAAAAACCCAATGTGTGATGTATGCTTTCACATGCTGAACACAGCCTGGCCAAAGGAACTCCGCATACGGAATGTCCGGACGATGTTGGAGTAGATGGCACAGACCCCATGATTTCCTTTAGATGGGGGTCCATATATAAACCACCTCTTGGGGTCTGTGCCATCTACTCTCAATCCACTATCCTATACTTGAACTGCCCATATGACGTAAGTTCGATACAGTGCTGATCTTTGCGATAGGGAAGTGCTGCTGGGCCTCGGGTTTGTGTGGCCAGGCCGCGGCGGCTGCAGCGGCTGCAGATCCTGAACTTGCCATAGAAATGGACCACAGGATCGATATGGATCTCAACACCATCCCTTCAAACATCCTGCAATCGATTTCTATGCAATGTACATAGATCATATTTTAGCCTCCAAGAGGCTAATTTGAGAGGTCGAAGACGTATTGCAGCAACAGTTGGGCTCTTCCTGAAGTCTAATGTCAGGGATTGCTGATATTTTTTGCTGGGAGGGAGTCGTTGTGAGGAAGATGTGGAATGGAAGCTGGCTTTGTTGGACGAAGTCGACGAAGTTCTTTGAGTAGTTCGGTAAAGAGTTGGTTCTTTGGGTTTGTAGAGTGACTTTGGTCGTAGAGCATCAAGTTTCCATATAAGAAGTCGACCTGTCACCTGTGGAAGATGAGCAAAAATCGTCGGGCTGTGGTGTCACGGGCTCCGCATCAGGGAGTGGAAAGGACTCCGGATTCCAAGGACAAGCCAAAACCCGGAAAACCCGGACATCAAATTTCTGATCACCAGCCTCTGAAAATAAAGGAGGCTCTTGGACACCAAGTGGTCCCTGAAAATGTCCCTTCATTATTGGGAACAAGAAGCTACTAGGAGCAAAGGCATCACTACTAGGAGCAAGAACGCTACTAGTAGCAAGAAGCTAGACCGTGACATGAAGCTGTGACGAAACATTTCGTGGGTGACGAAGCGGGAGCTCCGTTACGAAGCGGGCGGTGGAGCTTCGTCGACTGCCGGTGCCAAGCCTCGCAGGTCTTCGCTCTTCCCGGTATGATGGAGAAGCGATGAGAGGAAGTAGTCTGAGCCTTAGTTGGATGATGTTTCTCTTTTTGTTTAGTTATTTTTTGGAAAAACAAATAGGCATCGAAGAAAGTGGGCAATATTGCTTTGGTTTATAGGATGATTTCTATTTTCACTATGAGTCAAACCCCTGTTTGCAATATGTTTGTATTTTTTTCCACATCCAAGTGTTGGATGCAAGATTGGGTTTGTCACTGTGTCAACGTTCTACACCTTGTTGTGTTAGCGGCTAGCTGTCAGTCGGGGATTTAAACTCTTTGCGCGCCAAAGCCGTGGTAGATAGGCACAAACGAAAGAACACTTCTTGTAATGCGAGTTCGGAATTGCTGACTCTTCACTTCTGATGTGTCCAAAACAGGGGCAAATGAGCCGATATGATCCTCCAGGAAAACATCATATGTGTCTTGTAAGATGTTTTGGTGTTCTCCAGCAGTTTGACCTCCATCGCGAACGGAAGGCCTTCTCCTTCATTTCTGCGGGTGCCGACTTCCAGCCGTGAAGGGTTCCGATCGGCGGAGGTCGATCGGTTGGGTCTTAGGTCTTAGGATCTCAGAGGATTGAAACGACATCCTCTTGGAGGTACAGGATCAACTCGTTGAGAACATGATGCGTGGAAACAAAAGATGAGAAAAAGGGGCTGATGTCAGTGTGGATTAGTGACGATGACATGTTTCGGCTGCATGACTGCCACGGCCGACTTTGCTGATCAAGAATTTGTCGTGATTCTGGCTTTCTGAACAGCATCTATGCAATAGAGCACCTGAAATTGTATGTTATGTTCAATGCCGTAAATCTACAATCATAAGCAACTATCGTTATATTACATAGTGGTTTCGATCACCAAAGACCGTGAACGACCACTGACATGCTTTCAACGATCACGCGGACTTGTTCCAGCTTGGGCTGACAGATTTTGTTGCCTCCAAGCCGCCAAGTAACACCCTTTTTGGTGGATCCACTGCCACCTGAGAAACGGGAATGTTTTCACAAAATGGGTGACGATGTTTGTCATCCTTCCCTGAAACTGAGCGCTGAATCCATCTCGCACTGAATCCATACCCCTTAGGATCAAAGGAACCTGTTTGAGAGTTGGAAGAGAAATGGATGGGAGGCTGTGTTTTTTGGAATGCTCCACCACATGTCATTTTTCAGAATGGCAGCTCTTTCTAGGCCACAAATCGGCGAAACGACCACCCCGAGAAGCCCCGACTCTTGAGCCACTTACTGTACCTCCGATGGTTGTCATGCTGTTCATCCCAAAAGAATGCAAACTCCATTCGCTGAACAAGCCTGGTGAGTCGACATGAGAGTCACGTGGTCTCAATCGTTGGGAGCTGTTCGGCTTATTTGGATGGCAGCAGCTCCACGTTAGCAGGGTAGGGAGAAAAGTCGCAAGTGTGAGTGCCACAGCAAACGAGGCAATGGCACAGAGTGATGACTCTGACAGAGCGAATTATCAACTCTCGCCGCGCCCTATGAAGTCTACTTCGGACAGATTTTGTACATAGTATAGTCTCCAGGGTTGCTCCGCATAGTGCTTCAATGTGCTTCACATCGATCACAAGAATCCACGCTCTCTTTCGGAAAGAATCAAGGAAACCACCAGCATGCGCCAGCCCCCAGTCTTCCCAGTCTGCGCGTTCCAATGCCCCGCCCAGACAGCCCTCACGAGCCTCACGTCCTGACATCCAACCCAAAAGGGAACCTCTGGGAGCAACCCTGGAGCACTGCCATGATACAGCTCATCATAGGCTTGGCGGCCCTCCTTGCTGCTTTCTGGATGCTTGGACGAAGGATTCTCCCGACGACGGCGGAGCTTCTTCGCATGCGTCTCGCATTCTCCAGCCACGCGAACGAGCAAACGTGGCAGGGTAGCAACGGTAAGAGGTAGACCTGGTAGAGGAGGTCGACTGCTTTCCCTGGTTTGGTACGGTTCAGTGATATATCTGAGCAAACGTACCTCTATAGACTCTATACAGATTGCTTTACTATACCTAAATAACAAAGAAGCTTATCAGGAAACGACAATCGTTGAACAAGTTGATGTGTTCACAGAACACACATGTTTGAGTCGCTTAGCTTTTGCACACATCCATAGATATACATGCGCACTGATTCCAGATGCTTCTTCCCTTATTTCAAACAACCGCGACGAGTGGAGCCTG